GCACCGCGGGCGGGGGCGATGCGGGCTTGCCCAGCCCTGCGGCAGCTGCCTCACTTCGGCCCCTTCTCGCCAGGGGTGGACGATGCGGAGTCCGAGTGCGGTCTGGACCAGGGCCTGGCCTTTGACTGGACCCTGCACAACGACGGCGACGCCGCAGCCCTGGAGGGCCAGTTGCGAGCCGTGCTGAGGGCCGTCCAGGACCAGCTCTAGCGGCACCGGGGCCCTTCCCTGCAGTGAAGCCGGAGCCGCTGGGCCAGGCCCAGAAAGCCCGAGGCTGGGCCGTAGAGCAGGGGTGCGGGGCTCCTTGGTGCTAGCTCTGGCCCATGACGGGTATCCTGGAGGGGGCTGATCCCTGCAGGGCAGGGGCAGGATGGCAGGATGCTGAACGCCGGTGGAGCAGGGCCCGGAGCGGGGTGTCCGGCGGGTGGGGGGCAGCTCCCGGGAGAGTCGCCGGGGCACTGGGGCGGGTGTCGCTCCCTTGCCTTCCACCAGGGGTCAGGGCGCCCCAGCCGTGCGTGGTTCCCGGGCTGCGCTGCTGGAGCTGGTGTCGCTGCAATAAAGCTGATGGCTGCGAAGGGCCGCGCCTCTTCTGTTCGGGGTGATCGCGGCCCGGGGTGGGGGGGCGTGGGGCTGGCTCCGCCGCTGCGGCTGGGAGCAGAGGCGGGCGGGGGGGGCCCCCGGCACCTCCGGTTGGCAGCTGAGCTGAGCTCGCAGGCAGAGGAAGTTGGTGCTGGGTCCGTGGGGCTCGTCGGTGCCATCGGACCTCTTGCCGGGCTTGGAGGAGCAGCACGGGGCTGGGCTGGGGGCTGCAGGGAAAGGAGAAGCGCGAGGGCAGCCTGGAGCCCTGCGGCAGGTGCACGTGGAGGCCGCCCGTCGCGGCTGCAGCAGGATGGAGATGCGAGACTCCGGCCTGAGGCTGAGGCTGGGCCAGCTGGGGCAGGGGGATCCGACCGGGGGGGAGGAGGCGGGATGACAGCTGGGGTCCTGCTGCCGCCAAGTCCCCCCGGATTATTTGCTCCCGC